AAAGATTTGGCTCCTCTTTTATGCATCTGAGGTGTGGAGTTCCAGGAATAAAAGCAGAGCGATTAGCTGAGAACGAGCGAGGGATGGCGAGAGGTGCAGACATGGCATTTTAACAGGTTTGCTGGTCAGAACCAGAGTGTGAACAGTGGCTCTGATGTTCATTTACATAACCTCCGGCCTCCACAGTACGCAAGCCAGAGTCTCGCCTGATCTTGGCGGCTGACATGGATGTGTGAAGACAGGGATTGAGGCAGGAGACGGGTGCTTTATGGCACCACAGCCCCATGGTCTACAAAGAGACACTTGTATTGCTGGCCTCTTCTGTTTGCTGGCAGTGTTAGACAGGTTTTCAGTCACATCTGCCAGATTTGCAACGTGCTGACATAAACGTTCTGGTGTATGTGTGTGAACATAAGTTACGGTAATAAAGCCGGCAATCAGCACCCTTGAGCAAGTCATTGTGGGTTGTTTCTTGCTTCAAGCGTCTTTGTAAGCTGTCTCAAATAAACGTTACAAAAACGGATTTTTGTTTTTATCAAATGCAACATACTATACATTATCATACTTGATGAGCAATGGTCCCAAAAGTATTTGGACCAACACAATCTCATGGCACTTCATAACTATTTAACTTTTGTCAAATTGATAGCATATTCATAAACTCCCACTGTCTCGTTCGTATGTTTAGGTTGGGGTGGACCTTCATGCTTTTTCTAAAAATCATGTTTCCTTATGAACCACATTATACGAATTCACCTCATAAAATACTGTTTTCTCATTAGATTGGGTTGATTTCGGACCCTTAAGCTTCTGATTGGCTGTATTGTGTTACGTCACGCTCCATACAAAGCACAAATTGCTTGTTGCCGGTCATCTTGGCCACATCGCGCAGGAGTAAGTATGAATTTTTAGTATAACAGTAGTAAATTATTTTATAAATGAACACCTCGCAAACATTTTTGTGAAATATATTACTAGAAAAATGCTTGTGCTTTGTAAAATTTCAATCAAGAATCAATCAAACAGTTGCTTCTCAAAATGATTCAAAGCACTCAAAATTCCACACTCCCTGGAGCATCTGGTTAAAGCCTTGTAAATGCAACGAGCAAACACTCAATAAAATGTGTTTAATAACATGCTTTATGACTTTTTATCAACTTAAAAGTGACTCAACCTTACATTTTATACTGGCTCATTCATGAGTTCACTGATCAGCTGTAGGAAGCCTTGTTTACTGAAATCAGGTGACTTTGTCGTCTCAAAGCACTCATTCGAAAGATTTGTAAAGTTTAGGAGCTTCTTAATTTGTGTTTCATGTAATTTTTCCCCCACTTTGTTTGATATTTTGTTTGCAATTACAAGCATATATTTTGGGGCAATTGTATAGGCTATTCTTTAACTGCCCATAAAGAAGGAAAAAGGGGTAAGAAAGAGCAATGGGCATACAAAGAAAGAGAGAGAGAGAGAAAAACCAGATGGGAATTTTGAATTTGGGTCTGTGTATGTATGTCTTAGAGAAAGGGAGCCTCTTATTCTCTCTCAGCAGGAGCTTGGCCTAAACTTCGGCCTAGTCTCGTCTGCCCAGCAGGAGACTTTCCTGAGCTGACTGCCCAAGGGAGGGGCACCTGCCCCTGCCACAAACACTGCAGCACAGGCAAGGGAGTGTGAGGATGGAAAGACACTCAGGATTCCAGGAACAGGAACATGTGTTGGATTTATGAAGCACACAGGTAACACAAAACGATGCAGTGAAAAAAAGAAAACTATTTCCCCCCATACGTACCTCTGAGGTCTGTCTTCTGCCGCTTTCTGCTGCCTCCTTCAAAATGAAAGGTTTCTCTCTGACACAGTCGCAGTGGTTATTGTTGGAAACCTCAACTATACCAGCTCTTGGTGACTACCAATATAAACTGACAGCTTATGGATTTGCTGCCCTCCCTCATGGCAATATTTTCCACTGTTTGGGTTTGCTGGATACTAGCATATGTTTGAAGTTTATCACATGCTCAATCATTCAGACCCTCTTGCGAGAGAACAGTGGAGAGAGGGTCTGAGTTTAGGACCCCAGACTCCTCCAGCTGAACTTGAATATCGTCATTAAACTATGAGGCTTAGAACATTGCCCACTTCATGTTAAATACTATTAAATTAATCTATCAGCCCTGCAGCCTAAATTAGAAGGACCAATTCTTCTCGTGAACTAACATTTACTTACCTTTCCTTGAGTCATTCTGACCCCATATTATTTCCTTTCTTTTGTGAAACACAAAATGTTATGTTTGGCAAAATGTTCAAGCCTCTCTTTTCCTTACAATGAAACATTGATTTATACTGCCAATCTTCAAAAAAGCAATATAATCTCACAGGAGTTGTCCATATGATTAATGTGCTATATTTCAAGCCATATGGTAACTTTGTGTGAAAAATTTACCCAATTTTAAGCCATTATCCACTGATAATCTTCCCCATCATTGAACATTGAAATAGCATATGGCTTCAGTAGACTTTAAATATAGTGACTTTAGTCATAAGAGCTATTTTCATGGTGCTTTTTCTGGAACTTGACACTATAAATCATTCCATTTTACTTGTTTAGAAGACAGAAGCTCAGACATGCTGCTTAAAATACACAGCAAATAATACATGGTTGCAACAACGTGGGGTGAATAAATGGTAAACTATCATTTAATATAAAATATCTATAAAAATAACTATAAAATATGCATGACAAACCTGGTGCAGTGTGGATGAGTGGGACAAACTGAACCATAAGAGGACATCATTTATGACTTTCAACGGTCACACTTTGAGGTAGGAACATATACATATTACTTCCTCAATGTGCTCTGATGTTCCTCAGGTAAATGGAAACACATGCCAAAGGAAAATGAAAAGAGTAGGGAGGCGCACACATCAGGTCCTCATGGAGTGCCATGTTAGATGGCGTTCTTCCAAACTCCATCATACAGACTGGGTGGATGTGTTAGACCAAATGAGGAGAACATCAGTGTTGTATAAAAATTGTGCTGAAACACAGATTAGGTGTTTGGTGATTAACAGTTTATGTATCCAGATAATCTATCTCAAGGTGTACTACATACAGTATTTATTTGTCTTTAAAAAAATACCTTCCATAACTGCCAAGTCCCAAAAAGATCCCCAAGGAGCCAAGGACACCCCCATGACACACAGACAGAAGCGTCTGCAATCTTTTCAACAATATTTGTTCATGTGCGTCACAGAGCAGCAGGCAGCCACAAACCAGAACAGTGCCGCCATTCAACAATACACATGAATTGTACGCATTGCAAATACAAGATTCTTTCTAGGTAGTCTGTAGTTGTCTATGATGATGTCAATATGTCACAAACAGCATTACCAAGTTTACTAACCTAGCATGAAGGTGAAGGCGCACACACATTTGTGGGTCAGTTTCAGAAAGTGCAAAAAGCTGATACAGACTCAATAAGGCTCATATTATCCAATGAAAACACAGTCACATCCAAGCACTGCAGTGCAATACACACACACCCCATGCAAGACCCACAAAAAACTGAATGCTAGCAAAAGCATAGTCCGGGCCAATGCAGACACATAAATAAATGCTTCCTGAATGAAAACCATATTTTATTTTATTTCATTTGCAGTCTCAATCTCCCCCTCTCTTTCTTGTTCTTTTCTGTGTTTTACTCTTTATCTCTTATTAATTTCTCTCACATTCCCTCTCTCTCTTCACTGAAAAAACTCAGTCATCTGCTATTGTAATAAGGACAGTATTGCTTTACAGTGTTACATTTCTGCAGTATCATTTAGGCATGGGGTTCTTCAGGTCAGGACATCTTCTTAAACTTCCCAGAGGACTCACTTAGTTCTTAAACCATTCTGCTGGTGTTCTTACATATAGAATATTTCTTTATTGCATATTATGATAAGCACCAGATTTCATTTATAGATTATTTCAGGCAAACTTTCTTGTGCAAAGCAATGCATTATTTAACAGGAAAACATTACAAATATAATACAGATATGTTAGGAAAAAAACATTTTTTTCTTTTTTTTTTTAATACAGTATGATTTAACATTGGAATTCAATTTTTTTTAGAGATACAGAAATATTTCTCTATTGTCCATTAACATGCATAAACAGGAAAAGGGATGTAAATTGAACAAATTTGTGAAGATGTGCTACTGGGAAAAAAAGTATGTTTTTAAGAGTGGTTCAAAATTCAAAATTTTGTTTAAAATCGCATAATTCAATTACTTTAAAAAAAATCAGGTAGAATAAAAAATGACAAATTATTCATATAAGGTGCCAATAAATACACAAAGTCAGGACTATAACAGATCTTTTGGCTATAAATGAGGTTTTAGTTGAGTATAATGAAGTGCCTCATGGAGAACATAATGTCCTATTGGAGAATGAGAGATTGTGTGTCTTGGCTTCATGACAGAAGTGATTTATCCTCCTCAACAGAGCAAACTCTGACACGTCCTTTAGCTTTGAGCCAAATCTATATACTATGTAATTTCTCCTTTGCACTTAGACTAATAAACCAATTTGGTAGTTAAATGGTTCACACCTGTTGTTAGACCATCCTGGGGCGATTCGTCCTGACAAAGCTTGTTTGTCCCTTTCAAGTTGCCCCATAAAACAGATGTTTCACACGTTTTAGTCCAGTACTATTTACCAGCAGTTTGACCAGAATTTTTTGGTTTCCGCTTCAAAGGTGATGAATCCTAAATATTTCAGAAACACTTTCATAAGAATTCATCACTTAGTATTTCCTTTTGGATTGCAGGGACCTTAATAAACAATGCTGGTCAAATTATCTATAATTATACATGTAGTCCAGGGAGCAGAGAACGTACACCATCATTGCCTTGGATTACAGAGTATTACTATTTGCACAGCACATGTATAAAGCTATAATCGTTGAGCCCTTAAGCACCAAAATTAGTAATATGTTTAATAAAGATAACTATTAAACTGGTCATGGGCAGCTGTTATTGTTGTTCAGAGCTGCCCTTGTGGCAGAGTGGGGCAGCCGCACTTATTGCCTTCCTGCTGGTCCGCCTGCGCTTGCCTGTCAGCAGCGTGTAGAAGAACGGATTCACACAAGAGTTCCCATAAGTCAATCCTGTGAGGATGCGATTAATGGTCACCTGCGTGCCCACCGGCACCACGCGCAGAACCTCAGGTCGGTACAGTGGTAGAAGCTGCCAGATCCAGAACGGAAGGAAACAAGCCCAGAAAGTCAGCACAATCCCCAGGATGAGGAGCAGGACTTTGGGGCGAGGTGCACGGGGTGGGTAGGCGTTGCCCCCTCCGACCCAAGCTGGTTGCGTCTGAGATACCCAATAGAGTCTCCCTAAAGCTGCATACAAAGCTCCGATGGCCAGTCCTGGGCCTAGGATGCTGGTGCAGAAGAGCACACTGAGGTAGGCTTTGGAACTCTGCTCATCCCAGGCGGGAACGCACAACTTGCCTTCCTGGTTCTCTCCGTCTTCCAGGTGCAGAGTGATCATCATGGGCAAACTGAGAGCCACGGCAAAACCCCAGGCCAAAGCGACCCTCAGGAGTCCAGAGGAAGGTGTGGACGAGGCTGCCAATGGATCAGCCACAGCTCGATACCGATCCAGGCTCATAGCAGTGAGGGTGAAGATACTTGCGTGCATGGTGAGCAAGTCCAGACTGAGTAGCAGCCGACAGCCTAGTTCACCGAAGGCCCAGTCAGATGCCAGGCTGTCGTACACAATGAATGGGGCAGTGGAGAGGTACACCAGGTCTGCCAAAGCCAGACTCAGAACCTGCAGGTGGAGGGAAGAAGACGAGGAGGACGAGGTGGGAGAGGAGGAGGGAGAGAAAGAAGGGGAGGAGGTGCCGAGGCAGGAGTAACAACAGGTAGGAGCGCTACGCCGTCGCCTTGACATCCTACGGCGGCGAATGAGAAGCCCTAGGGTGTAGAGGTTGCCCAGAATGCCCAGCAGAGAAAGGAGGGATAGGAAAAAGCAGAAGAGAGCTGTGGAGGCTACGCTTGGGGACGGGGAGAGAGAAGGAGAGGACGAGGGAAGGGACAGGTTAGTGAGAAAGGGGAAGGTGTATGAAGGGGAAGGGGAAGAGGAAAAGGAAGTAGAGCCAGAGACGTCCATTTGTCCTGGACAGCAAGAGTCCCAAGATGAGTTCCCGTCCGCTGAGAGAAGGAGGCCAATGGTAACTTCAGAGTGTTTTGGAGTAACTAGCACTGAGCCCAGGTTATCAGGGAGTCCAAATTAGAAGGGGAGAGCTGTGAGCGGACTTCTTTAATGGGTGAGGTAGAAGAGAGAAACAAAAAAGAGAAAAAGAAAGGGTGATTTTATAAACTTAACATCTTTTGCCTTTATAAAGTTTTGTTAACATCTCTTTACCTAAACTGTGTTTAGGCCTGACACAGTCTGACAGGTTTGAAAAATTTTATCTTTTAAGAGTGTTTTTAAGCAACTTTTCAGTATCAGACAAAAGTTACATGTTTGTCAGAGTGTGTTAATAGGCGCTTTTGAACGAAAGTCACGTTGGCTTGAGGGGTAGTAACTATAGCAACAGTACACTTATATTATCACTTTATCGTAGATTTAAAAAAAATTCTAATATGATTATGATAACTTCTATTTATTATAATCGTTTTTTGTAAAAAAAAAAAAAAAAAAAAAAAGTCTTCATGATTCTGACTTCATCATTTATGAAACAGAATTGTAATTGCGCGAAAAAAAACTGCGCATGCAAATAAATAAATAAATGAATATTCACAGAAAAAAAGGCGACCCATATACAATAATCAATTTGCATACTGCTCGAGTTTTATTTATTTATTTATTTATTTATTTTGGAAGTTCACAGAAATACACAAATAATAAAAACAGCAAATAAGGGTTAACATAGGCTATGTACAACTACACTAATAGCTTATTATTTTCAAATGATCCTTATTGTTTTTATTATTATTAATATTATTGTTGTTGTTATTATTATTATTATTATTATTATTACAGTTATTGGTCAAATATCCCAGCAGCACGACATGTAACGTGCGCGATCATTTTCCTCACAAACTTACGAAATTCCTGTCTGAAAAAAATAAATAATGAGAAACCCTTGACTATATTTGAATATGAAGAGTTTATTTGCAAAAACAGATAACTCCGTTTTTATGAATTTTCATAAATCATGTTTTTTTTATTGTGTTATCATGTTTTTATTGTGTTAGTTAGCTGTATTTTTTTAGTTATTATTATTTAATCAGAACAACCCAACTGCAGTTTGATTGACATTAACTGGAACGCAAGATAAAAAAAACATGATTTTTTAAAACATTTTTAAAACGGAGTTCTGCAAATGAACTCTTCATATAGGGACTTTAATTCTCATGCAGCCGACGTCATAAAGCGGCGAGGCTCTTGGGAATTCTATTCTTCATCATTATGACGGGTGTGAAGATCAAAGCCCAGCCGGGGGGCGCGAGGACACTTGCGGGCAGAAAGAATGTAGGTGGCACATGGTGACCCTGAGAGGGACGGGTTACGAGCTGCTGTTGAAGTGACCCACTGGCACAGGCACAGCACCCCTTTACCAGGGTGCTTTAAATAACACCTTTCTTAATAGACTGACACAGCGACTGACAGATTTGCTAAAGTTAAATTAATTTATTAATACAATACAAATAAGTTTTGAGATAATCATGAGATACGCAGTAAGGCCATTTAATAAACAAAACAATGATATTGTTAGTAATAAAACTCCTTTTTGACTAATTTTAGGTACTGAGAGTTAACAGTGCCAAATGAGTCCCACTCTCAGCATAGTCATTTTAGTTAATGTAATTTATTGTTTTTATAATATACAAATGTCGAACATGGTAGGCCTATGTCTGCATTGAATTATGATCGGGGAATGTTGCAACATAGTGAGCTGTAACACTATCAGTCAGTAAAAATTAGTTGCATGCTTGACATCACTCATTCATGAGGTGACAGCAAAAGTGTGTAAAACATTTTAAGGATTTACAGAGGGGAAAACTATATTGAGATGAGAAAGTATAATGTTATGTTCATAAATGTTAAATGACAAAGCAGAGACGCATAGACCATCATCTATATTATTTATTTTTTATATAGGCTAGCCTAACATTCACACAAGCCCTTCACCTGTTAAAAATAAAAAATTGAAATATCACAGCTGACCAACACTTTCCATACTTCTATACTGTACCTATAGGAAGAGACTGAATAAAATTGGACAGTGTAGGTCAGTTGACACAAACATAGCCTACACTGGTTGTTATGTTAGCATGTTTTATGTATTTCTCTATTTGTTTCCATATTTTATGTAGGGCCTACTCATAGTTTGTTTTATTTGAATTAAGTGAAATTTGACTCGGTGTGCGAATAATTATTTTGAACAAGTAAAATTGATAAGCACAATAAATTCATGTAGCCTAGTCTATATAACTTGTAAACCGTCAGTGCTTACTATTAACCCGATAGTGGGAAAGACTAAAACAGCACTCTTTGTACTTGACAAGAATTTAGTTTATATGAATTCGTTGTAGATTTCTAAATTACGTTGCCTGTAGCAGGCAGATGAGGTGATATATAGCCTATCAAAGTTTGAAAACCATAACGCAAAAAAAAACAAAAAAAACACCACTACAGATGTTAAAGCAAAACGTGTCACAACACTTTCCGGTCTTCCCTTGTATTTATTATAAAATAAAAGGCTTTATGTCGAGATGTGAGAACGACATGTTCATAGACAAGACAGCTGAGATCGTTATTTGTTATCCTGAAATAATTTCTATATAAGAAATAAGACTGTAATAAATACAAAAGTTAGACATATTATATGCTTCTTATTTCGTTTCATTTTTGAGCGAAAGTTATTTGACTAATATGCGAACACAGTAGCCTACATAAACGTTATTTTTAATAATCCGAAAATCATCTTACCATTAATTGAGTATTCAGAGATGGCATGTTCCATACGTCGACCTATATCCACACTTAAAGAGACGAAAATCCCACTCTGGACTATCCTAATTAAATTGTGTCTTTACAAGGTATAAATCAAGAAGCCCAGCGAGATGTTAATGTTCCTCTAAGGACAGACTTAAAGAAACTTTAGGATGGTGTAGAATATCTCTGAGTCACAGCCAGTCCACTCCTCTCCTCTCACTCTTCTGTTGTCTGAAGCAAATGAAGGGAGGGATGAGGAGAAGCTGTGCTGAAAGACTGAAGAAAGAAGGGTGTCTTTAATAAAGACCCACACTGTTATGAATGGCCTTGGATGGAGACAATTGATCTTCATTGGCAAAGGACTGAATGTGATTTGATGTTTAGTCTCTAACCCTGACTGATGTTTGTGGTGTTATCATTAGCTTCTCTCTCGTGATTAGATACCTTAAGCTCATTCTTAACCAACACTTTTATGAGCAAAAAGTTGGTGCTTTGGGGCAGTATTTACTAGTGCCAAAAGCAATACAGTCAGTATACCATAGGAAAAACACTTGTAAATGTCAGAGAACAATATTTATGTCCACCATCCATCAAAGTTATTTGGGTTTGGGAGCATGCAAGGAACATTTTAGGCATTTATTAGAGAACTGTAAGAATTACAACAACGAACATGAAAAGGTACATAAAATGATTTCAGTTATACAGGTACTCGGAGGACAAATGAACATATTATTAAACCCATTATTTGAGGCTGAACTGAATCATGCGTGAAAAATGTTGGATGAAATTTTGATATGCGTCACAATCCAAACCACAGCTGAGGCAGTGAAAACCATTTAATCACTTGAAATATTGCATCGCTCCCTAACGACCATACAGGAATACATAACCATTAATGGACAGAAAACGTTTCAGTGGAAAGACATTTTCACCTCCTTAGTCATGCATGGTGTGGAGTGTGGACATCTTGCATTTCTGATCAGACTAAAGTATGCTGTCCTTTAGAGCCACAATAATGGATTCTTAAAGGGATAGTACACCAAAAAAATTGTGATTTATGCACCCTCTTGACATTTTAAACCTTTATGACTTACTTTCTTTGATGGAACACAGAAGGAGATGTTTTGAAAAAATGCTTGTTTTTTGTCCATACAATGAAAGTCAATGGGGTCCAATTTGTTTCGGACCCCATGCACTGACTTTCACTACATTGTCAGGAAAAAAAAGGTACAAAAGCTGTCACTGGGGTGGTACCTATTCACACTTTTGTACCTTTTAGGTACTAATATGTACATTTTGGTAACACAGTTCTTCTACGGTACTAGAATAAGAGTTTTTTTCTCAAAACAACTAAGTTCAGATGTCTGAATATTTACAGTAGTTTTTTGTTCACATCAGATTTGAATTTCTTATTGATTTAAGCAAATTGTGTGCATTTTGGCACGTGTGCAAAAGAGTAATTTGCACAATAACTAAATGCACATGGCTTGTTGATCAAAACTGATGAGTTGATTCTCAATGAAATTTCCAAACTTTTCACAACTTCGCATGCCATCACATGCAAAATGATCCATCCAGTTATCAAAACCTGTCAGACACGAGTGTACAGTATATCCATAAATATCATGGACATGGAGCTGGTTATAATGTCTGCTAAGTTGGCAAATGGACAAACTTCTGGAAACTTTACCGAATTTTTAGAGACTTTTGGGACTTTTGGGGGAATTTTCAGAAATTTTCCATCCCTTGCCATTGTAGTGAAATAAGAACCACAATCTTGCCAATCAATCAAGTTTGGACGCATACAGTATATACAGTATATGGAGTTTGCCCAGCACAATCACTACCATTTTTGAACAAGGAGGAACGTCACGACCCTAAACAGCAGCAGCTACAGCAGTACTGTATAAATACATTTATATTTGTACAGTGCATTTATCTGAAGAAATGTGTTACATGTAAACTGAAACTTCACATTTGCTTGTTATGGAAGAGCAATTGTAAGAATGTGTGGTGGTGGTGGTGGTGGTGTTAGCGGAAGACAATAGAGTGTGTCAAAATGAATAAGCAATGGTGAATTTTCAGTTGACGTAACACATTTCTACAAAAATAAAGGTACTGTATAAATACAAATGTTCATGTTCTTTTAATGTACTACAGTATTG